CACTGTTTATATCCAGTAAAGCTTGAATATTAATGATTTGTTTCTGGTTGTCTTGTAGGAACCTATGCTATTCTCCCTGACTTGCCTGCAGTTGGGGGTAATGAAGGTGTTGGACAAGTGTTGAAAACTGGAAGTCATGTGACTTCACTGAAACCAGGTGATTTGGTGATTCCAGCTGATGCTGGACTTGGTAAGTTTGACTCAATGTTTAAACTGAGAATTGAGAACATTTAGAATAAGAGAACCAGTCATGAAGGGCACTCATTAGAAACAGACATCAGCCAATAATGTCATTACGATAGAAGGAGAAGTGTCTGGCACCATTGCCCTGGTCTGTTTCAGGGGCTATATTTTTAACACTTTAAAAGCAATCAAAGGGCCATGCAGACGACATGCATATAGCTCTTACAGCAACATGCAGAAGTTGAATTAAAAGACCAGCCCCTGATGTTCTGTCCAGTAAAATGTTTGAGACCCAGTAAATAAGCTAAACTCTCTTATTGCCATGCCTAGGGGCACTGAAGGAAAAGGTTTTCTAACTACTGACATTTTAGAAATGTTTTCTAAATTGTATTCGCGAAGGCTTTCATGGCCGGGATCTAATGGTTGTTGTGGGTTTTTCGGGCTCTTTGACCGTGTTCTGAAGGTTGTTCTTCCTAATGTTTCGCCAGTCTCTATGGCTGGCATCTTTTCTAAATTGTTCAGTATACTACCTGAAACCTTTTACTTCAATTGTGGAAACACACAACTTAAGCTGCCTATTTCCAGCTGCTCTTATAGCTTGAATTGTACTTTTTAATCCTTCAAACCAGGAACATGGCGCACAGAGGCTGTATTTGATGAGGAAACTCTGCTGAAAATACCGTCGGATATCCCACTGACTTGTGCTGCCACCTTAGGTGTCAATCCGTGCACAGCGTATCGAATGTTATGTGACTTTGAGATCTTGAAACCAGGTATGTATTGAAGGGGCGTCCGAGTAATCCTTGTATATCATGGGCAACTTTACTAGAAACTCCACAGGAATATTTGCTCTAACTGCCTAGAATGACATCAGAAATTTTCTTAACTCATGGTATGGATGCTAGGATTATACAGCTACAGTAGAAGTGCACAGTGGTAAAAGGGGATTGAGGTTTATTCACTGTTTGAGTTTCTCTGCTCTTGTACATTTTACCCGAGTGAGCGAACACCAAGTCCACAAGGAGTATAAATCTCATTGTGCCAGTGGATGTGCTGGATGATGGGCACAAACTAGATGGTGTCCAACCACTGGATGTGCTGGCTGGGGATGATGGGCACAAACTAGATGGTGTCCAGCTGGGAGGAACCTGTAAGCAATACTGTCTTCTGATGTGAAGTAACCTAATATTCCCCTGTGATGATCCTCAGTCTCTGCCTGTGAGCTGGAAGACTCTGCATAGTTTCCATGGAAAATGGGACAGTAGAAGATATGGGCCATTGGACTAAGAAGGGACTAAGTTATGTTCCTGCAGAGGAAGAGGCATGTATTCCTAAAAATGCTAGTTCATGCATTAGTACTCTTGAGGATTGATTACTGTAACATTCTCTACATGGGGCTACTCTTGAAGGTGGTACAGAAGCTGCAGCAGGTACAGAATGTGACGGCTAGGCTGTTCTCTGATATTTCAAGATATGATCATATCTCCCCAGTCCTGGCCCTCCTGCACTGGTTCCTTTACGTTTCTGTGCCAAATTCAGGGTATTAATGTTAACATAAAAGGCTGTGAACGGTTTCGGACCTCGTTAATTTTCAGAGCGCCCCTCTCTGAGATCATCTACCTATTCCACCCACTCCACTCAAGTGGTGATGCTGCAGGTGGCCACCCCGAGGCAGCCCCAGAAATCTGTGACTAAGAATCAGGCCTTCTCAATGGTGGCTGCCACGTTATGGGATGCATTGCCAGCAGAGGTACGCCAGGCCCCTTCCCTTCAAGCATTCAGAAAGTCCCTCAAAACGTATCTTTTCAAATAAGCTTTTCTGGATATCCTTGTTCACATTTCCCTTTCCCCCACAGCAACCAAATGTACGCAGTGTTTTTTATGTCTGTTTTCTTTTTTACCTATTTAAATAATCGTGGTGGTTTAGCAGAAATTGCCATTGCTGATGGAAATAAGCTCTTCAGCATTTAAATTGTCAGTGTGGCTAACATATGCCACTTTTCTGATTTCTAGAGTTTCACTCTTCAAATTAGAAAAAATGATGATGTCAGTATTAGGACTGCTATCATTTGTGTTGCCCAGAATCTCACTTACTCTTTAGCAGCTGAGGATTAACAATATCATTCTTCCACTAAAGGGTAGAAAACTTTTAAAACTAAAAATGCATCTATTTGTCTACAGGAGATTCTGTAATCCAAAACGCAGCCAATAGTGGAGTGGGACAGGCTGTTATTCAGCTTGCGGCAGCCAAGGGTATCAAAACAATAAATGTGATCAGAGATAGGTGAGTGTACAATAAGGTTGTGGTGGTTCCTTCCTCTCCCCCCCCCCCAATCTGCTGTTTTGACTCAGCCAGCTTCCTTTAAGTTACAGAGCTGGCAAGAGACCATGTTTTGGATGCATTCCTTAACATGATGACGGGGAATGTTATTAAGAAGGTAGACTCCATTATTACGTATGTGTGTGCTTTTTTTGTTTATCTTGGATGCCAGCTCCCAGAATTCTCCAAAAATTGCCCAGGCAAACTTCTGAGAGTTTCAGCCCACAAACACACACCTACAGACACCAGCATGTGTGGAAAAAAGGAAGCTGCCAAGGTGTATCTGGGAGTCGTAGTTCTTCAGGAGATGCCTTAGCCTAATGGCAGGGTAGGTTTGAGTTAAAACGTGATTTAAATTTTTAAAAAAATCAGATTTTTGATGTTTTAAATTTAAATTTTTTAAATTTAAATTGTGATTTAAATAAATTTAATTTTTAAAAAAGTTTTGATTTTTAGCCACCCAGGACTACAACTCACAGAAATCACCAAAGCAGCTTCTTACAGAATGTGCAACTGGGTATGATGGCTGGAAGATAGTTGGAGTTATAGTCCAAATAAGTAACTTTTCCAAACAAGTTTATACCAGAATAAAAGTTTGCAGTAATGTGGGCTCATAAAACAGTGAATTGTTCTCCTCTCTTCCATGCAGTACAGTATGATAAACTGCAAATGTTGCTTGATCTTCTGTTTCTTCTTCCCTGCTTTCCCTTCCTGCTTCTCAGACCTAATCTCCAAGAGCTGGCAGAGAGACTGAAGTCCCTTGGTGCTGACCATGTCATCACAGAGGAGGTGCTGCGAAAACCAGAAGTGAAAGACTTGTTTAAGGTATAGGTGAGCATCAAATGTATTGGAATCAGAGATGAGGAGGGAGTCAGACCACCTTGTTAAATGGCTGTTCTGAGGCAGCACCTCACAGAAAGATGCAAGTTGCTGCAATGGAGGGGGTGGGGAGATTTTACTTTTTATTATTATTATTTTGAGCTTCCAAAGGCTTCAGCTTAGAAACATAGAGATTTTCTTGTGCTTAACTTCTGGATTTAATTTGATTCATTGTCCTGTTACTTTATAAATGGGAATGCAGACAAGGCAGTCCATTATGAAGTCTTTTTATTTCTATAAATGGAGCATCTCACTCCTCAAGCTTATTATCTCTAAAAATCATTTGAGAAGAATGGATCAAGATGAATATTCAAGGTGCTTCAGTATCATAAAATTGCTGTGTAGTGGCTGGGGAAGCATAGCGGTATGGATGCTCATCACGCTATATTTCAAAAACATGTATGTTGCACATGAAAGTGTTAAAAGCTGAAGCGGAACATATTTTCCTGTTCACATAAACATCAAAGCAGTTGTTTATTCCTATTCTTATTATAAAGAGTTCTATCATCTAAATTATAACTTTGATTGAGGCAAGATATTGAAAGAACATGGAGGAGAGAGAGAAGCAAGCATGTTCACATGCCGAGCATGTTGTTTTCTCTTTATGTATGTTGGGACATAATAGAAGAGGTTAGAGGCAAGAACATCCTGTTGTTTGTCCTCCCCTCTTCTGCCTTTTCACCATTGCTTCACACTGGCTTATGTTAATGCAAGGAATTGATCTATTGTAGCCTTCTTCAAATTGGTGCCCTAGAAGTGTGTTGGACTGCAAAATTCAGCATTTTCAGTATTGGCCCTGCTGGCTAAGAATGATAGAAGTTGCAGTCCAACACAACAAGAGGGCATCTGGTCAGGTAAGCCTGACCTACCAAGTGCAGTGGAATGGGGTCTTTTGTTGTTTTGTTTCTTGGACTATAAATCCCATAATTCTCCATTCTAGGTGTTCTGTTTGACAGACCGAGGCCTTACAGACGCCTAAAGACTTCAGCTTGAAAGGCTTTGAGGGTGAGCTAGGTCTAGCTCCACTCCTGCTCCTGCCCAAATGCTAGTTGGCAACTTTCTTTCTGACCATGAAACTAGGTAGAGTTTGGCCTCAAAGCCTTCCAGTTGAAGACTTTCTTCCAGGCGAGTCACATTTAGATGTCTGTCTGTTATGTAGAATTGGGAATTATGGGGCTTGTGTCCGACTCCCGACTCTTCGTGTCCCTATGGACCAGAACACGCCAGGCCCTCCTGTCTTCCACTGCCTCCCAGAGTTGGGTGAAATTCATGTTGGGTTGGTCGACGACACTGTCCAACCATCTCGTCCTCTGTCGTCCCCTTCTTCTCTTGCCTTCATACTTTCCCAACATCAGCGTCTTTCCCAAGGAGTCTTCTCTTCTCATGAGATGGCCAGAGTATTGGAGCCTCAGCTTCAGGAGCTGTCCTTCCAGTGAGCACTCAGGGTTGATTTCCTTCAAAATGGATAGGTTTTTTCTCCTTGCAGTCCAGAGGACTTCTCTAAGATTTTTTACATTTCTGAGTCCTCTGTACCTAGACTGCCTTGTCAGCTGCAGTTTGATGATGGCCCTGCATAATTGTGTTTTATTTGAATGAAGTGACTCGGGTCAGGGTTGAGAATGTGAAACTCATTTCCACACTGCAAGAATCCAAACTCTGCAAAGTAGAAGTTTGTTATGACAGAGAGGCAGGACAGAACCACTTTTGCCAGCTTCAACTATGTCCATTTTTGATAAGTATAATTGGTTAGAGTGATGTAGGAGCTAGTAACTTGAAAGTTGGATTGTTGCAGTCTATTCAATGTGCAGCTCTCTGGTGAAGTAATTGAACAGGATCCCTGCTTATCAAGATTTATATTCTTATGCCCAGTTTATGAAGCCCTAAACAATTTGGGATTGGTTTCATTTTCAGTTTGTTTCCATCCACAACCAGCAAAAGACATTGAACGTAATGCAGATTGAAATTATAAGACAGTCACAACCCTAATACAAAGGAAAAAAAGAGATAAGGGAAAGTTATATCTTAAAATCATTGCGCATTAAATCTTGCATGCAAGATTTTTCATGTAAGTGTAGTCTGAGGATTAAGGCCTAAAAGTAGTTTGTGTAAGATCTTTGTTTCAGGACAGCCCAAGAACCAGTTAAGCAAAGGGAGAACAAGCTTAACACAAGGTTCATAGTAAAACTGGTAGTGTAACATAATGTGTGTTGTTGATTCTACCATGCTGTCACTGCAAGGACAGACCCACTTAGCCATAGAGATATTTTTCTACCTCCCATTGGTAACCTCTGAGTGCCATCAGCGTTCCATCTAACTAGTGAGAAGACCCCCTGCAGTGGGTCGGCAATTCCAGGAGAGAGAAGTAGGCAGCCAGAGCTACAATATATCTGGAGTCATCTGCTGTGAGAAAATTGGGGGATAGACTAATAATTGCTTTTTCTCTCTATGTCAGAAGCCCTCTGTTTGACAAGTGCAGTCGCCTTGTCTAATCCCATTGTAAGGAGGGACTGAGGGGAGAGACTGATAGATGTTAACTTCTTATATACTGCATTTAGCGAAGGAGAGCAGAAGTGGTGTTGAAGAATTAAGGATGTTAATTCTTGGGGTTAGTAATTTAACTTAAGCCAGAAATTGATGGAGTCAAGACTTACTCTAACTTCTATTTTGAGTAGGGCAGATTCTTGGAATAAGCTGGTGTTTGAAACACATCTGGACATTTGGAAGACTGCCCTTATGAATTTTGATTGGGTTCTCTCTAATGGGGCAAAACTGGGGCCTGGGGGCCCTAGGATTGTTCCATACAAAAACTGCGAGAGCGTTTTAGCCTGAAATAGCTTGAGGGCTGTGAGGATATATTGTCCTCTTCTTATTCAAAAGAATTTTAAGATGGCTTGTGCAGATTTTTGTCCCATCTCAACTACATGATCATGGCAAGCTTTTCTTCCCCCATTTGATTGCTTGGGATCTGGTTGTTTTGGAGAAGATCTCCTTTATAGAACTATTAAATCCTTGGAACCATCTAGAGCAGGAGTCTCCAAACTTTTGACTGTGATGGCCACACTGGATATTTCCAACATTTTTGAGGGCCAAAGGAACCGGAACATGCACATGCCAATATATGTGGCCGGCCGCCTGCACACACCCCTGCCCGCACAGGTGCCTGCACACACCCACACGCAGCTGGCCGCCACTCCCACACACCCACCTGCCACACACACACACACCTGCCCACCCCATGCATGCACAGATGCCTGATCTAGAGCAGTGGGTTCCAGCCATGGGTCCTCGGACATTCTTGGACTGCAACTCCCCGAAGCCCTTGCTGCTACAGCTTGTGGTGAAGGCTTCTAGGAGTTGCAGTGCAAGAATGCCTGGAGATCCAAGGTTGGGAACCACTGATGTAGAGGGAATCTTCTCATGGGTGATACATAGTCCTGAATTGGGGCAATTCATTGTCTGAATTGAATGTGCATGTCTTACCCCAAGATCATAGAATCATAAAATAGAGTCCAGCCCTCCATACAGTGCAGGAATTCAAATCAAGGTACACCTGACAAAATGCAGACCAGTTTTCTCTTCAATACCTCCAGTTCCGGAATGCTCACCACCTCCTGAGATAATTGGTTCTGTTGTTGTAATCCTTCAACCCTTCCTGATATTCAGCTAAAATCTGGTATCTTGTAACTTGAGTCCATCATTATGTGTCCTTACAGAGAAAGCAATAGTATTGTGGCCAGTACTGTGCCTTGATACTATGTAGTGTTTTATATTATTTCAGATTATGACTTTGAACTATTCATTTATAAGTACTTTATAAATATTCATAGTGCTTTAATATTTGGTAAAATGTTTGGCCAAAACATGGAGCAGGCAGTGGAAGAATTATTTTTCATAAATCTGTTGTTCTACAGAAAGTTCCTAAGCCCATCTTGGCTTTGAATGGCGTTGGAGGGAAAAGTGCTACTGAGTTGCTACGTCATTTGCAGTAAGTTTAACTGTTTGCTGCTTGAATTACATGTGTTTCATGGTCATGATTTCCTTGGGTCAGATCCTGTCTTTGGGCCCGTGCAGACATCCTATTTACTCCTGCTTAAGTGGAGGCTTCAGTTGTCCATTGATTTGTATTAGGTTAAGAGATCCATGTGACGTTGCTGTAATCTCAAATCATTCCTTCCTACTTCTCTTCCCTTTCAGGGTTATTTTTCCTTGCTTGAGAATTGGGATTTTTTAGAAGCCCAGTTCCTTTGAAATCTGTTAACCCCATCTATTCCTTTGTGTCAAACAAGCTTGGGTCCTGTGGGGATGTGTGTAAGTACAACTCCCCCGACATCAGCTGCCATGTCAACTGTGAGAACAATTTCCTCAGAGCTGGTTTGCCTCTAGTTGTCTATATAAAGAGGAGGGAGGGACTCCCAAACACAGATGATTCTCACCCTCTGGTTCATGCCTGGCAAGTTCAATGTAACACACTGTTTTAAAAAAAAGGACTAAATTGCTCTAAACCTTCTTTCAAACTCTACATACTGTACTTTTCTCCATGTTAGGAAGAAACCAATATCTCCTTCACAAAATGGAAACTTCCACTTCCAACATCAAGAGAGAGAAATGAGGAGTGGAAACAGAATTTTGTACAATGTGTATTATTTGTGTTACATTTGTACAGAAGATAGTTTCTTCTCTTGTCACGAGTGCCACCCTGATGAGAACTGTGTTTTGGGTCCTTCTCCTTGCATGCAAAGACAATACTAGGGAGGATTTCCATCCCTGCTCTAAGGGAATAGAACGACATAGCATTGGAGTAGCCAGAAAGAAAGTGCTTAACAGCTACTTGAATATGGTGCATTTTATTTATTTATTTAATTTATATGCCGCCCACTCTACCCAAAGGTCTCTGGATAGTATTCTTGAATCTACTTTTGAGCAAGAAGGATAGACCTCCTAATCTCGTAGCTTACTTTCCTGTAGGCATAAAGGGACCATGGTTACCTATGGTGGAATGTCAAAGCAGCCTGTGACAGTTCCTGTGGTAAGTATCCTTACTATTTCCTATATGCCCTTTTTTTCTGCTCCTGTAGAAGCTAGCTTATTCCAGTTACGTTTGTCTCGTAGGTTCTCCTCCCAGTGAGCAATCTCTTTTCCTATAGATTGTTCTAGAGCAGCATCTGTAGCACAATTTGTGCTGTAAACTTGGAAGTATTCTGAAAGAAAAGCCAGGGCAATACATTTGTAAACTGTGACTCCTTTGCATTCCCACAGAGTGCACTGATCTTTAAGGATGTGAAACTTCGTGGGTTTTGGATGTCCCAGTGGAAGAGGGACCACAGCCAAGGTAAATGATAGAATAGTGTTTAGATTGAGTTTTGGAGAAAAGAAGAGAGTAACAGCCCCATAGACAGAATTTGGAAACTATGCCTTCTTTTTTTGTACAATAGCTCTTATGATTTCTCAGCCAGCTGGGAAATCTTAAGAATTGTAGCTTATTTTTAGGCTCTGCCCATAGCATATTGTAAGTGCATATGTAAGGTATGTGGAAGGATCCAGGCTCAATCCCTAACATGTACTACAGAAGATGATGAGTAAAATTATTGCATGCGACCCTGACAAGCCACTGACAGAAGTATAAGTTGACTATGAACAGCCTTTGTGTGCCTCTATACAGCAGAAGATGATGAGTAAGATTATTGCATGCAAGCCTGATGAGCCACTGATAGTTAGAAGTATAGGTTGACTATGAACAGCCTTTGTGTGCCTCTACTCATCAGTTTTGTAAAAATGCCGAAACTAGTAACTCTGGGCAGAAACATAAGCAAGTAAGTGATGAGAAGATACATGATTCAGGAAGACTTCTGTATTTGAGAAATAAGGCTTCAAAAAGCTCCTGCTGTGCGATCTTCAGCAGTTAAGAGACTCCTTCTTCTAATGATACATTTTCTGTAATTTCCATGTCTACTCATCGATTTAAGCTTGCATTTGTACCTGCCGGTTATCCCAGTGTCTAACATGAGATGTCTCCCAAACACCCACTTCCTCTTGTGCCCAGCTCCTGTTTGCACCTGCCTAGCTCATGGCTGGGAAAAGTTGCTTTTTTGGACTACAGCTCCTAAATTGCCCAGCCAGCTTTATTCATGCTGGCTGGCTGGAATCTGGGAATTGTAATTGTAGATAAAAACATCATATCCAGTTCATGGACATAAAATCATTTTTAAAAAATTGAGAGTCCATCCCAGACACTTGCACAGAGTCACAAAAAGGCAACTCAAAGACAGCACTGGAGTTCTGCAGCCTGATTTAATACATCCATAACCAAGCTACTTCTTTTTTGTATACATTGTTTCTTCTTTTTCCTTCTGTTGTTGTTTTGTTTTATGCCTATACTAGGGCTTGTTTAAGCCAATCCTGGAAGAGGACAGTTACTATCTAACCCTTCTGTGTTTTATTTCCTGCAACACAGACAAGGAAAAATTGGAAAGCATGATCACAGATCTGTGCGGTTTCATTCGGAAGGGTCAGCTCGCTGCTCCAGTCTGTCAACAGGTCCCGCTGGCAGACTACCAGGTAGCTTTGGAAGCCTCCATGAAACCATATGTATCGGCTAAGCAGATCCTCCTCATGTGAAGCTGTTCTATTGGGAACATCATGCACAGCTAGCTCCAGGGGAGTTCAGTCCGCGCTGGTCTGAGTGCTTTCCGGGACTATTTTGTAGCCCCAAATTATGTGGCTTGACAGAATCTGCAAAGGGGAAATGCGTGGATGAAATGAATCTGACTATAGACTTTGATTGTATCAACAAGATTTCTCTCCCATAATAATGATATCCCTTCCCAACAGTGATTGTGCCTCCCTACAAAATAATTAAATGCTTGTAGGTCCCTCAGCATAAGGTGAGAATCTCCTTGGAAGATCTGCTTTCACTAGTTCTGCACATTGATGGGTGTGCATGCAGAGAGCCTATCTCCAAAGCTTATGACCGGGCAGCATCATAGGTGTATGTCTAGTGTTGCCTTTTTTGCTGTTTTGTGGAATGCTTTTAACTTTTTTTCATATTTCATTGCAGCTAATTTATATATGGAAAGCTGAATCTGTATTATGAGAGTTGAAATAAGTATTTTTCTCTCTTAAGAGAACAGCTCTAGTACACAATGAGCATAATCCTATGGATTTTTCTTTTTTCCTGTTGAACCTAAGGCCACTTCATATAATACAAGGGTGCCCTAATGGCTCTGTTCACATCTCTGTGCTACATTATTCCTTCCCTCCAAATTTAGGTCAGTTATAAGCCATTCCTACATTCTGAACATACTAAACATGACTCTGTCATTCACATTTAATATTAAGACACGAGCATGATTTACAGGCACATCGAAAGGAATAGCATGGGAAGCAGATCTGTTTAGGAGTTCAGGGAAGACTAGGGTTGTCTAGTAGCACCCTCAGTGGGTTTTTGTACCTTACGAAACATGTTAAAGCATGAGCTCTTAGAGGGGGCATAAGAGGGGCCTTGCACTGATACCATGGCTTCCCCCTGGAATATCCATCTCATAGATGAGTTTCCACAGGGCTATAATGCAGAATTACATGGTCTGAAGGATGGCTTTGATGGGGGATATATGCAGTTCTCAAGAGCTAGCTTTCTGATCAGTGTATAGTTCTTGAAATGAAAGGGTTTTGAATTGGTTATTTATACCAAGACCGCTGTAACTGAAATGCAGGCAAATTGTACTTGATTGCAAACCTGTTCTTGCAGAACTGTGTAATGGCCGTTGAAATGCCAGTGATTTTCATTCCCAATAAAACTCTCTACCTCTCATCAGTGATGGGATTTTGTTTGGGCTTAGTAAAAGAAAATGGCACCTTTGAAAAAATTCAGTCAGATAGTGCTGCTGTATCTCTGCTAGTCTACTGCAGCGAAAATAACAAGTACCGTGGTAACTAAAAGACTAACAAGACCAATATTTGGTATAAGCGTTTGTGGACTGCAGAGCCCTTGCCTCTGAAGACCAGGTTGCAGTTTGTGAAAGTGTGTGCTAAATAAAATAGCTTTGTCTTTAAGGTATCGTACACTCTTGAGTATTTAATTCCAAAAAGAATTACATGATCAATTTATTTTCTTTCATCTCCTACCTTTCTCCCTAAGAATGAAATTAGATAAAGCCAATATAATATGTAGTTAAAAACAGGATAGCACCCAGACAGTTAAAACTCCTCTTTCACATCAACCCACTTTAATTTCCCAAAGACTTGTTTGAATAATAATAATGATAATGATAAAATGTTCCTTCTTGTGGAAGAACAATAGGGAAAGGGCTTGCCTAGCCTCCTTTGGTAACCAGGCAGCAACTACTGTACATTATATACTGAAAGTCGATTGTTCTCCAAGGGTGGAAAAGCAACGTTCCATTGTCTGTATGTGCATGTGGAAGAAGTAGGCAATATTTTGGAGGTATTCCACCACCACCCCATCTCTCACACAGTGGAAGAAATGTTTCTGCAATTGAATTTGCACCATGAAGTTTTTAGAGGGGCTTATCTTTAAAAGAAATGTAATTTTAGATTTAGACAAAACATGCTATTTTGGTGGGCAGTTTCATCAGTCTAATCAGTGGCTAAATGCTGTGAATCCACGTGCCACTCCGTCTCTTTCGAGCAGAAAATACAAAACTGCTTCATCGCACGTCAGACTACCGTATTTGTCTCTCTAACTCAGTATTTTCTATTGTGACTGGCAATAGCTATCCAGCCGAGGTTTTCCATATCTAGATTTTTCAAATGCCAGGGATTATACAGAGGAACTTCTGTGGGCAAGTGTGTGTTCTATCATTAAGCTGTGGAGGGAGTGTCATCACCTTTATACAAGGTTCTCTTGCATCCCAAAATAATGTGAGGGATATAGAAGCTTTAAAGTATGGATATCAGCGAATTTTTATGAGGCTTGAAAGTGTATTCTCTTCCCTGATTTACCCTGAAGTAATACATCTTTCTGTAATTCCTTTGGGGTTAAGGAGTGTAGAGTTCAGCAAAAACTTTTTTAAAACTTGTCTGCACTAAGGTTGTTGGCATCAGAGCAAGCAAGATAAGTCACAAGTTCACCACTGCATATCATAAGGAGGAGGTCACTGGCTGTGGGAAAAGAAAATAAAGAAGCATATGAAGCATTGTGTGTACCTTTCTGTCTCTCAGCTAATCCTTTGCTAATTGTTTTATTGATAATGGTTCTGCCCCATTCCTGTCTGGCCACAGACCTTTCTACAATTAAAGAAAATTACCACATAAAAGACCTTCAAAAATACTAAAATCAGTTAGCTGGAAAAAGGTCATGTGTCCCAACTGCTGTGTTGTAAAGCTTTTGTGGTGATTGTATGGGAAAACTAGTTGTTAGAGACTTGGAGTAGGACTCGGCCTACAGACGTAAATGTAATAACTCCTCCATACCCACAAACACACAAGATTTGGTTCCTAAAGCTGGATCACTTCAGCAGTTGGATGGTCTGCGTTATCCTAGCAGCAAAATGATGAGCAAAGCAGTCGGTCAATAATGATTTGGTGAGTATATGGCCTTCCATAAGTCCTCAGTCAGTATGGTCCATGGTGAAGTATTACTGGAACTGTCTCAAACATATGAAGGGCAAAGATTTTCCATTCCAGCAGCAGATGAGAAGCTAGTTTAGCTTCCACACCCCATGCCTTGGATGCATTGCTCTTCCAATTGCTGCTCCTTTGAGATGCAACCCTGGGCTTTGCCTAGCAACCAGGCCCAGGAAGCATCCAGAGTTTTCAAAGAAGGTGCTTCCTCCTCGGCTGCCAGAAAGTTTGCAGTCCTCAGCAATGAATATTAACTTCCTGGAAATTATTACTAAAGCTGTGCTTAAATCCTCTACTAATTTCAGCCTAAACAGGGAAAACGAGAGGTGCAAATCTCTATATAGTTCCCCCATACACCATTTTTAAAAAACCTCTTTGTCAATGGCATCTTCAGTATTACTGGATACCATCCTCATTCCCCTTTTATCTGAAAAGTGCCAGAATGAAAGCAGGAGCATTGCCAGCCATAATCTCTGCCGAGCTACCTGGTGTGTCACAAAGACAAATCAGAAGGAGGATAGTAAATATGTTTTTTCAGTCACTCATCCAAATTTAAAAAATGCTTACTATAAATGCAAGAGTTTTGAGTCTTTCTTGCAGCTGTATCTTATAGCTTGGAGTGTCTGTGGGTGTGTTGACTGGATACTGGATGCAGGTAAGTATGTATAATGAACACTGAGTTTTTCGATACACTATTATGTCTAGTACCTAGATACATAGTAATATCTAGAAAATACTGTCGTGTCCCAAGCTGATAGAGGGTGGAAGTTATTTAAAATACTGGTAGCACTTCTCTATTCTCTTGGGTCCGGATGATAACAATACCATTAGTGTATCTCAGATGTTGATGGATTTACTGCAATCACTTCTTAAGGTATAATACCCACTCAATGAGGGGAAAAATTGGCAGAACAAGACTAGTACCTAAGTGCTGCCATGAGACAGATCCAAATGATGAAATAATAGAGCACCATTGGCTGTGACTTTCAGCTCCCAGCTGAGACCCCCTCATATGTATAACTAATGAATGGCAACCCCTCCTAGCCAATAGTACTTTGCTGTCCCAGGTTTTGAGTTGCAGGGCTGTACTTGCCTCCCATCTGACTTTAAACAACTAGTGATACTCAACAGGTCACACAATACGAATTCAGAGGCAGGAACAAGACCCTTCTACAAACCTTAGATGCCTACCAGGATCTAGAGCCATGGTTCCTAAGCTTAGTTCCTCAGATGTTGTTGGATTAAAGTTCCCAGAGGCCTTAACCTGTGCCGGCCAGGATTTCTTGTAGTCCAAGAACATCTGGGGATCCAAGGCTGGGAAGCACTAATCTAGAGGCTTAAATACAGGCTACATTAGATATAAAAGATAATTTCCCCCATAGTCTTATTTATAGCTAGAAGTGTTCTGTATCAAAACTCTGGCTCTGGTATAACTGCCTCTTAGAAACAAAAGCAACTGCTTGAGCACTTAAATATGATAGCCCAATCATTTTGCATCAACCACTAATGATTTATATTACCTAATTAATCTACCCGTTTACAATGTTGATGTAATCAAGACATCTCTATAGCATGTCACTCAGTCCCTGTGGCCTAAATACTGTGCGCAGTGGCCAAAGTGATGTTCTGTTGTGGCACCGTGATTAAACTGCTGCACTGCAGGCAAAACTGCTCACAGCTTGGGTTCAATCCCAGGTAGCCAGCCTGAGGTTCACTCAGCCTTCCATCCTTCCGTAGTCGGTAAGCTGAGCTTGATGGGGAAGCAATGTGTAGCCTGCATAATTGTGGTAAACTGAGCTTGCTGGGGAAGCAATGTGTAGCCTGCATATTGTAAACCACCCAGAGAGTTGCTTAAGTGCTATGGGGTAGTATAGAAGCAGTACACTTTTACCCTAGCAGCAGGGAAATAGCATAATTTGCAGCAGGTACTTGCTGCTAACCGACAAGTTTCCATTTTGTTTTTTTCATTGCTTGCCAGTGGCATGTCCAAGTAGGGACCTGTTAAAAAGCAGCAGGAAAAGACAATTTCCCTTTCACTGGCATAATCTGGAAGAGGATTTTGACCAATGTGTCTGAGGAAGTGGGTTGTAGTCTTATGAAAGCTCACACTGCAATAAATATGTTTGTCCTTAAAATGCCAGCATACTTTTTTGTAGTTTGGTTTGGTTTTTGATTATATATTACAAATGGATGGGATATTTGTATTTGTCTCTGGCCAGTCCACTTACCGCTTGCTGTGCGGTGCATGTGGCCAGCATCAATCCCGTTGCACCAATTGTGGAAGTAACCCAGCTGCCACTTCCCCGCCTCCCTGCACAGCTGGTCACTCAGCAGCTGAGCGGGGAGACTTGCCATCCCACCCCCTTGCCAGAGTGGTCAGCAGCGCAGGGAGGTGGGGAAGTGCCAGCCGGGCTACTTCCACAATTGGTGCGGCAAGTGGCGAGCAGTAAGTGGAATGGCCCGTTCTGGGGGAAGGCTCTGGTTTCTATTCAGTGCCAATATTCATATTTGTCTGCCCTAGGAGACGAAAACAAATATCCCAGGGAAGGCTCTGGTTTCACCAGGCACCTGTGGTACTGATATTTGTATTCAGTGCCAATATTCATATTCATCTGCCCTAGGAGACGAAAACAAATATCCCATGTCTATTATACAGTATATCCAGCTACTATAACCAGCTAGTCTGCCTTGAATTAAAGAAAGAAGTGGAATCTTACCAAGAGCTAGCCACCACTGCCAAATGAAAGGGAATTCTTTCATCACTGTAAAAAAAAAAATCAACAGAAGTTAAAATACAATGACCTGCCAGCATGATGAAACTGAAAATTAACTTATAGGAAAGTGGTACGCAGGGAAGGTGTCAAGAGTTTTGGAGCACCTGGACATCAGTGTCCTATTGCTATCTCTGATGGTCTTTTGAGAAGTCTGAAACTTCCACCCTGCAAAGGCTGTGAAAGTGTGACCTTTCAGATACTGTTGGACTGAGAACCACAGAATTGTGGAGCTGGAAGGGACCCCAAAAGTCATTCGGTTCAACCCTCTGCTGAAGCAGGATAACTACAGTTAAATCATCCCTCTGTTTAGCAGCCTCCAAAGAAGAAGAGTTCTCCATTCTCCAAGGCATTGATATGACAGCCTTTCAAATACTTGAAGAGGCTATCGTATCACCTCTCAGGCCTCTACAAACTAAACATATACAGCCCCTCTAAAATGGTTCTCATAGGGCATGGTTTTCAGACCTTGTACTATCCTGGTCAGCCTCATTCCAGTTTGTCAGTAAATTGTGGTGTCCAGAACTGGACACATTATGCCCTATGAAGTCCACTCAAATGAGAATAATGTAATACTATTACTTAAGAAGAAATTAAAAATGACAGTATAAAATCACTCTCAAGTGATGAAAATTATAGATACCTTAGAATACTAGAAGCAGGTAACATCATGCACACAAAAGTTAACAAACTGAAAGAAAGGCAATATATCAAAAGACTGCAGAAAATCTTAAAATCAAAATTAAATGGTGGAAATGCAATCAAAGCCATAAACACATGGGCAGTTCCAGTAATTAGATGCCCACCTCAAATAACAAAGTGGACCCAATATAAATTAGAAGAATTAGACCAAAAAACACATAAATTAATGAACATGCATCATGCACTACATCCAAAAAGTGATGTAGACAGATTACGTTTACCATGAAAAACTGAAGGCTGTAGATTACTGCAAATACAGCAGGTAGTAGAGGATGAAAAAAAGCCTAAATAGTTATATAAGTACAAGTAGAGAAAATTACTTAAGGTGAAAGTGGAGAATAGTCTGAAAACAACAGAAACAAAGGCTCAATGTAAGAAACAACATTTTGAAAATAAACATTTGGAAAAATAAACCACTACACAGACAACACCAGAGAAATAAATATTAAATGATCATAATTCACCACGGGCATGGCTAAAACTGGGGACCTTAAGAAAGAAACTGAAGGTTTGATTTTTGCTGCACCAGAACAAGCACTCCAAACCAATGTGATGAAAGCTAAGATCCAAGGAATTAGTTCTGACAGCAAATGTCGACTCTGCCAAAAAAAAGATGAAACTGTGTCACACCTAATCTATGAATGTCTGAAGACTGCACATACAGATTACAAAATTAGGCATGTTAAGAGTGGCAAAATTAATGCACTGGTCATTATGCAAAAGAATACTTGTCATGCTTTAAAAAAAACCACATCGTAACGTCAGGCAGAAAAGGTGTAAGAAAATGATGAAGTCAAGATAGTGTGGGATTTCTGGATCCAAACTAACAGACACCTTGAACATAACACACCAGACATAGTAGTAGTAGAATGGGAAAATGTCTGGAGAATACACATTGCAATTCCATGGGATGCCAGAGCTGAAGATAAAGAATTGAAAAAACTAACAAAATACAGAGACCTGGCAATTGAAATATCCCATTGCGTTGATATTTAACAGATACTTAGGTTTTTTGTTAAAACTTGTATCTGTTATATAATACCAGTCAATGTTTTTATAATGTTGACTGTGCCTGAAGTTTCTTAAGAAGAAGAAGAAGAACAACAACAACGACGACGATGATGATGATGATGATGATGATGATGATGATGATGGGGCCTGAGTCTTCTTTCTGAAGTCCTCAAATCTCCTGATCCAGATGAAACATCTGAAGACTCAAGTTTGCTCTAAACCCGGTGGAATGGGGCCAGGTTCTCCTCTGGACCTTTTGCTGAGATCCTTGTAAGAGTATTTCTTATTTATGCGACAACACATAACAGAATTGTATGTTTTTTCACATAAAATAGGATAAATACTCTGGAATCCCTCAGTTCAGTAAAAACAGAAATCTTACGTTCATTACCTTGGGGAAGTTATTAGACAATAGTGCAGGATATAAAACAGCAATAATCTAGGTTTAGTTACAGAAACTATGCATGCATATACAGTCATAGCCAAAATCATTGGCACCCTTGCAATTCTGTCAGAAAATACAACCCTTCTCTCAGAAAATTGTTACAGTTGCAAATGTTGTGGTACTCACATGTTCATTTCTTTGGTTTGTGTTGGAACAACACAAAAAAACAAGGGTGCCAATACTTCTGGCCACAACTGTATACAGTACTAGTAGTCATTATGCAGAGTCCCAGTGTGTGGCTATCTCCTTCTAACAAGGAAAACAATTGCACTAGTTTCATAGAAGGAGGAAGGAGAGTAATTTGCATGGTAAATGGCCACTAAAAAAAACCGTAAAGAGGAGACAAGAAGCCCAATCGCACCTGCCTAGTTCTGCATCACCACTTACGGGTCACTTATGAACACTGCACTGGTGCTTTTTCCTTCTAACATTCCATTTGCACCACAGGATACTGAAGTAGGGGGCTAGTGCACTGTTCTCCCATGGCAAATCCAATAATCCTGGCTCATCCATTTGTGAGTCCATCCATCTATTTATGCAGCTGTCTCCCATTCCTGCTTTGGCTCATTCATCATCTCTTAATTTGCGTATCGTCTTCCATCCATCCATTCATCTCAATCTCAGAGCACCAAAGTTTGTCTCTCTTTAAACTGCGACAGAGAGAGAGACCCTTTGCTTTTGCAACTAAAGCAGTTGCAGTCCATCATGTTGTTGCCAGCAGAGACAGATCAGGGTCCTGTAATGCTGAGCACTGATGCAGTGTCCTTAATGGGAAAGTGCTCCGTACTGCGGCTTGGAAACAACACCATCCTTTTCACTAAAGCATACATATTGGTCTCCCCATTTAATGGAATTGCTTTGTTTGTAAGTAAGCAATTAGTCTTTCCATAAACAGTGCTCCCCACCCAGTCCCCACAGCAAGCCAACAAGAGAGGGCTGCCGCAGCTCTCCGGGGTGTCAGAAATGATGGGTGTCTCTTTCCAGTCCATTAGCACCAGCAGGCTGCAGATGGCGGCGCCTGCCTTTTCGCCCAAGTTGCATTGCAAGAGAAATGAAAACTGTTCTCGTGTTATCATTGCAGCCATAATGGGAGGGAAGGAAGAATGGTTCCACGTGGCACTGGGATTAATGGGACAGAACAATAAGCAGAAGCAGGCGAGAAGTAGAGGCGGCCGCAACCATCTGAAAGCCATTTATAAACAACTTTCTCTCTAAGGTTCATGTTTACTTCAAAGCTGTTCCAATTTTTTCTTGGATCATTAGTTAATTTTTTTTCAATTTTGTGTATATGGCTTTAGGAAGGGGACAATTTGGCTGTGTCTCTTGAGTGTAATACTCAGGCCCTTGAGAGAAAATTTCCCAGCTGGTAACATAGCTCTGGGTAATTCTTTAGGGCAGAAGTGGGCAAACACTAGGTTTGTTTCATTTTTCTACTAGTACTTTGAAATCCACCAGCTGGCATATTCAACATCGTGAATTACAAAATTTTGAGGCCAAGAAATTAATTCCAAGTACCAGAACACCATGAAATGCACAATTTTTCTCCATATACAAATACATTCCTTGTTATCTCAAACTTTTTTCACATTAATATAATAATTTAGGGTGGAAAGAAGAGAGGCATCTTGTCGCTGACATTGTTAAACAAGTGGCATTTAAAAAAAAAACTTGTCAACTGCAAAACACCCAGAGTTCTAGCTTCTGCCCACCCTTGCTTTAGGGCAGTGGTTCCCAACTTTGGGTCCAAATATGTTCTTGGACTAAAATTCCCAGAAGCCTTCACCACCACCTCTGCTGGCCAGGATTTTTGGGAGTTGAAGTCCAAGAACA